CGAAGGACCTGCAAAGACTGGGGAACTCAGCTGAGAAGGATGCTGGGTGTGCCTTTCAGGGAATGGACTGCTTGGAGTCTTTATCTTCTGTGTGATGGGGAAGGTTAGAAGGAGAGGCACACTGACTGTACAGCTCAGAACCAAAGATTTCACTTAGGGGGAGTAAAATACTGGTGAATAAACTAGTGTAAATATCTATTCTGGACAAACATGACAAGAAGTCCAGAGTTAAAAGTTCAATGCTAAATAACTGCAATGACGTCAAGAAATGTCTGAAACCTTGAGGATGCTCTCCTACTTCCTGTTTGAATTGATCTTGTCTATTTTAAAAGGCCTTGGCTCTTTGTTCACACATGCAGTAGTAGGAGGGTTCTAAGCTGGACCTGGCAGGCCCAAACTGCTTATTCAAGTTGAATTTTAACTCTGGCTATTCATGGCCTCACCATAGTACTCACATGCCTGGACTCGCATTTGAGAAGTAATAACGAAGTATAACCTACCTCTGTTCTGAACCTGAGGAAACAAAGCTATTGGCTTTGAGCTGAGCAATATTAGCCTTTAGATTTTCTCAAAGCAGCTGTAGATGTTTCTTTAAGGCAAGCCTGGCCACACCTGTTTCTAGATGAGATGAGGCAAAAAAGGTGCAGGTTGAGTGCATTTAGGTGCAGGTAGCAGAAGTTACTCAGTATTATTTGTTCTCCCTGTGGGTGGGGGATATGTGTTTTGGTTTTTTTTCTCAGACTGATTATGGGGAAAAAAACAGCACAGCAGTCAAATGTTGCAAGCAGAGGGACTTGAACGTCTCCTTTGCAGGCCTTTCTAAAGGATAGGGGTTTTCACTGCAAAAAGCTAAATACAATAAAGTCCGAAATGTAATTGGTGGTGATAAAGACGCAGATACGAAATCTGACTGTTCTAACTCTTGCTTAATGACCTTTTACGCAAATTAAAAATCCCTGCTGCTTACAGGTAGGTGGCACAGTTAAAGTAGTTGTTGCAAAACAACTGGGAGGAGTACTTAATGATGGACTTTCATGTCAATCTCCTCTTCCATGTAAGAATGCTTTCTGTTAAGGTGCATAACTCTACTGAACTTTAACTTGAGAGCATCTGAACAGTAGAAGACTGGCAGAGTTTTAGCTTGCCTTGAATGCTTGATTATGACAGAAAGTCTTTGCTTATCACCCCTAGATGTGTATGGGTATAGTGCCAACATAGTTTCCTTTGATTCTGCATAAATAAATAAAAAGGACCTAACTAAAACCCTTTATCAGCCCAGTCCTCAAGAGACAGAGGAGGAGAAAGCAGTGGTTTTGAGACTCTTGTACCTTCAGTGCCTACTTCCTTGCAGTACAAAAGCTGAAATAAGGTGGCATTACTATTTCATACCTGGGCTCAACCACATCATCCATTGAGAATTCTTGGGACTAATTAGAATGTCTGTTACCCAGTTAGCATGCTCTGTGAAGTTATCTGAGTTTCATTCCAAAGACTAGAGGCTGGCAACAGTTCTCACCACTGAGACTGCTGCAAGCCTCTTGAGTCAGTTCAGCATGGGCATTTTGAGCTTCCCTGTTGCTGTACACAGAAGCGTTTTCCATCCTTACTCCTTAGAGTGCTGTTAGCATGAATAGCTTACACTGTGTTCTTTTTGCTGCTGCGTGATGAAAAGTTTCACTCTGGTTATTCAGAGGCTTAGTCTAGTTGTGGGATATTGGAGCAGAGGGTATCTGGAACTTGTATTTGCATTTTTAGCTTTGCAATGATTATTGCAAAATGGTGTGTTTGTACTGGAGTGCATAGCCAAGATTTCCTAACAGCTGCTCTGATTAGGTAGATGCTCCATATCGCAATACAAGGAAAATTGCCAGCTGGAGTGACCTCC